TCAGTAATGCCCCTTAGGCACCACCCCAGCCCTAAGCTATATGTATGCCCCACACCATGTGTCGGGCAGAGAGAATGCCAGATCCGGAGGTCATGGAGTCTGTCTCCACATTCTTAAAATAGAGGCCACTGTTATTTCACATTTCTTATCTTTTTAGCCATACCGAAAATTCTATCAACTTCCTCTCACAGTTTTTCTTGATATCTTAACTAAAACCTAGAAATAACTCAGAGACTCAACAATAGTAGAATGAAGTTTAAAAAAACCCTCTATGGTCCCATACAACAACATAAATTAATTTTATTGGCATAGTACCATTCACAAGAAACTACTGTCACAGTTTGTACTGTATGATCATATTTCAGGTAAAGGTGCTTATTTTTGGTGGTGCTGGTGATTTAACCCAGGGCCGCCCCACAGAGCTACATACCCAGCTCTTTTTTATTTTCAGAAAAGGTCTTGCAAATCACCAAGTTGCCCAGAGTGGGCTTGAACTTGCGATTGTCTTGGCTCAGCCACCATATTGAAGCCACCATGTTTGGCTTCTAGAAGTAAAACTTATGTAAAGTATCAGAAGTCAGTGCTTTGGTGCTACTTTTAAATAGGGATTTTTTTCATTTTTTTTTTTTTTTAAACTGGGAAGTGATAAGATTTTGGCGCGGCTGAAAATATAAGAAGTCTGAAATATAAATGACCTTTATTTTAAGAATGTGGGGAGGGACCCCCTGACCTTCCAGGGTCTGGCATTGTCTCTGGGAGCTGGGATTCTCTTGGTCAGACACGTGGAGTGGGGGCATACATATAGCTTAGGTTTGGGGTGGTGCCTAAGGGGCATTAGTGATGCACAGGTAGCCCATTGGAATTCATTTCCCACCACAGGTAAATTCCTATGGGTGGGGAAGATAGAGCCGCTTGATCCCGCCTCCAAGCTCTTTACCAGCTACAGTGTCCCAACTGGGGCAAAATCCTTTCAGGAAGGACTTTCTGAGTTTTTTTTTTTTTTATGTTATGTGTATGCTGGTAAAACAGGTGCCTTACTACTAAAGATTCCCAGAACTAAACTTACAACTAATAACTTGTGCTTTTTTTTTTTTTTGTGGTGCTGAGGATTGAATTTAGGGCCTTACACATGCTAGGCAAATGTTTTACTTACTATTGAGCCACACTCTCAACCGCTATCTCTGCATCTTGGGATGCTTACTGTCTTTCAGTAAGGTTTGCCAGTTACAGTCCTCCATTTTACCAGTGTCTTTTTTTTGATACTGGGCATTGAACTCAGCTTCTTGCACTTGCAACGCAGGCACTGTGCTGCTTAACTATATCCCCAGTCTTACTGTCTTTAGGGGGAAGATGGTGTTATGAATGTGTACTGTTGTCCTAATTTCATGGCATTGTAAAGCATTATTCTTTATCCTTGGTATTTGATTGAATTTTCCATTTTGCTGTTGGTCAGACGTTAAGACTTCAGAAACAAGTTTGTTTCTTCATTTTCTTTTAGAAGTCTCTAGAGGTAAGCACTTAGCTCTCCCAGAATTTTTATAGCCTTTTCTCTGTGTGTATTATTGTCTGGGCTGCTGTAATTTCCTTTCGCCTTAGATTAAGTTGTGAGATTCTAAACTTGTGTTTCTCCACCACTTTTTTGGTTTGGTATGTAATTTGCATATTTTCACCATGCGAAAGCTATTTTCTATGGTTGGAAAAGATATTTTTCCTACAGTGTGAACAAATCATTCTTTGTTCTCCTTATTGTGCCTCCAAGCTGGTACGTCCGGTTTATGCCCCAAACAACAAAAGTCTGTCATCAGAAATTAAAATGCCAGCAAGAACAAAGGCAGACACCACCAGGAGCTCTTGGAGCCCCTGTTTACTCCTCTCCCCGAGTTACTGCAGTTGCCAGGAAATTGGAGCACTGCTTAGTACATGTCTTCCTTGAAGTTCTATTCTCCTATTTATTGTTATTGTGGATTTAAAAGTGAACTTATGGCTCTGTGTAATTTTCAGGACTTATAAAATCTGAACTGTTTTTAAGAAACTTAAAAGTCACGTTTGACAGCCTTTTCTGTGAAAGCAGTATTCCCAGTGAAGATACTGGATGAGATTGTTGGAGATACTTTAGAAAGCTAGCTAACGCAACCTGTGTGTGTCTTTCTGCCTTCTCCTCCTTCTTTTCTTTTTTTTTGTACTAGGTAGTGAACTCAGGGCCCTTACACTGAGTTACAGCCTTATTTTTTACTTTTAGACAGGGTCTCACTGTGTCTCTGAGTTGCTTAGGCTGAACTCAAACTTGTGATCCTCTTGCTTCAGCCTCGCAGAATGTTGTGTGTGTCTTTTCTCAAATGTAATCCTGGGCTGGGGGTTTAGCTCAGCGGTATAAGTGCCTGCTTGGCAAATGCAAGGTTTTGAGTTTTATCCTCGGCACCAAAAACAAAAACAAAAACAAAAACAAACTAATCCTGTCTTTATGTTTCTGTTTTGAAGTTGTGTGCTAATGTAAAATGTTCACATACTATTTGAAAAGTTGCTTTTCCTGGGAAGGTTGGTGTTTATAACTCATGTAGGAAGGTTTAGGATCACACTTCTAATTTCAGTATGGTATACAGCCATGACTTTGTTCACAGATATCTGTAAATAGGACACAATGCTTTCTTCCTGCTTCTCTTTCTTAGGTCATAAAAGTTCAAGGAACTTAACTTTGAGGAATTAAAAAAGTGGACAGTAGAGGCTGGAGATTTAGCTCAGTGGCATAAGTGCCTACCTACCTGGCAAGCGCAAGGTTGTGAGTTTGAACCCCAGTACCAGAAAAAAAAAGTGGGCAGTGAGTGTGTAGATAAATTTTATAAACAATTCCAATTTTTTTTCCTTTCACTGCATCAGATTTTTTCCACTTTATCTATAAAGAAGGATTTCTAATAAAAGGCTAGAATGGGGCATTTAGGTTTGTTCTGAACACTTTTTTTTTCCTATATCATGTTTAAAATTTCAAAATGATTTTCTGTCAAGCTAAGCTCTTGTGTATTAAATACAGTGATGATAAACTTCTGTCATATTGTGAGGGTGCCAAGGCAGATTTGGTTTTTAAAAGTTACTGTTTAGTATATTTGAGTACAGAGGCTCTGTTAAACATAATTAACCTTTTTTTTTTAGCATTGACTTTATTTGATAGAACTCAAAATTAAATACTCAACCCCTGACACATGGAAATAATAGTATAGAACAGTAGATTTTATGTTAGAATACTCTAATTTGTTGCATAAGTGAGAAGTGTTTTTCATTACCTGGAATTACAGTTTAACATAAACTCTACAATGTTTTGTAACTTAGTTTTTATTTTCGTATTAATAGAAATAGTGTGTGTGCAATTAAGATTATTACTTGTTTCTTCCTCAGCAAACAATTAATTATTAGAATACAAATGACTTTTAGTCATCATGCCACTTTTTTGTGTATTGACAAATTTTCAAGAATGGGAAATGTGGGACTAGCCAGAAACACATCAGTGGACTACACCATGTATATGCTTAAAAATCAGCGACAGTGTAAATTTCAGGTAATACACGAAGTGGAAAATAACCACTTAATAAGGTCTTGTTTTCAGATTCTATTTTGTTGTAATAAAAGGTAAACTTAAGGGCTGCAGTATCCGTTGGCAGTGAGCTTAAGTTTGAAAATGAAAGGTCACTGGGAGTTTTAGAGTAGGTAAGCTCACCTAGTTGTTTACACTGAGCTTGCAGCTCTCGCAGGCTTCACTGGTGATAGGTGGTGCTGTTGCTGCATGCTTGATCTTTGCAGGCCACACATGCTCTGCATCCCATGTGCTGTACTTGGATTTGCTGGTCCAGGCAGTAATTTGTAATAATTATCATAGGCAAAATGAACATTTATAGGAGAGAAAAAATTTTACCTTTTGAAGCTTTTAAATTGAGATAGAAGAAAAGCTGAAAAATCTTAAAAAGTAGTTACTTTAAAAGGTACCTCTGCAGATGTATAGTTTAATATTGGAAGATTTATAGACTTTTAATAATGTTTTATTTTTGGTGTTTTAAGCCACTTTTTGGACAGGCCTATTAAAATACCAAAGTTTGTTTCTTGTATTGAACTTTTATGTTTATTATATTTATTACAAGTCCTTGGGTATTTGGAACTAGTTTGATAATGTTATTTTGTGTGATATTATATACTCTATAAAATGCTAGATAATTATGACAATGTATTGAGCACCAAATGACTACTTACAATATGCCTGTAAGAGTGTTCTTTAATATAATCTGCTCAAAATACCAGTCATTAGTTGAAAAGCAGTGTTTTCACACAATATATATTAGCCGTACCCCTTTTACCATTTGGATTAACAAAGTAATATACTCTTTATATCTGAGAAATCTGATATCACTGAAAAAGAACATTCATACAGCATTTGATCTTTGTGTGCACTAAAAGATGACCTTTGAATTTCCTTACATAGAACTTTTTATTCACAGAATATTGAAATTAAAGGTATCTTAGAGATTGTTTTACCAGGTTTTCCTTATGTTATAATTGAAAAAGATTATAGGCTTATTGAGTTAAATGGTTTACTTAAAGCCAAAACATCATTCTAGAAACATAACCGGTTTTAGGAACTGATGAAAGTTGCTATAGTAGTTAGGTTGTGATTTCCAGAGTAGTATCCTAGTTGCTTTACTCTAAAGTTGAAAGCAGTCATGCAGGAATTGTACAGATTTCTATGTTTTTTAAAATGAGAATTAGTAGACTTCTGTGGGCAATATGCATTTTTCCAGTTCAAATAGAATATGGGCTTATATTTTTCTATAAATACTTGATAATTTAAGCTATGAATATACTTGATATGTATGATAAGCTAAAGTGAATGTGGGTGCTTGTGTGTCTGCATGCATTTTTAAGGTAAATTATGGTGAAATTTAGGTGATCTCGTGTTCCTCTAATAATGTTGTGACCTACATTCTACTTTAATGAATTTTTTTCTGTCTTGTTGTATGCAGATTAGTGGGGAAGCACAGGAGCTCTTCTCTGTTCGACATGGCCCAATTCGAGCAGCTAGAATCTTACCTACTCCACAGTTTGGTGAGTAAAGAAAGCCCTGAAGAAAAAAAACCAGATCATTCAGAGTTTCTTTTGTTGTCTTGGACTACAGACAGTAAGAAGGAAACTAAAGTCTGTTTTCCTCCAAGTGTCTATTCCCCACTCTCCTCCCCCCAAGATGAACTCTATTCTGTCAGTTGAGATGGAAATAGGTAATCTTAACCAATTCAATATGGCTATTCACTTTCTGCTGTGGTTTTGATTTATCTCCATCCTCTTTGATCTCAGTTTAGCCTCTGCTTTTGCTAGCTCTTTCTCGAAGCCCTCTTCTCTCTTGGTTTTCATGGCATCGTTCTTCCAAGATCCCTTCTTTGCTGCCTGTGCTGCCTTTGTTATGCTTCTGGCTTGCTTTCTTCTGTGGGTATTCCCAAGACTCTGTTCACATACATGCTTTGCCCTTCGTTTCAGTGATACTTGCTCACTCAGAGAGCTTGCTTTTCACTGTTATCTTGGTTTGCAGGTGACTGCTGTCTGTGTCTTCAGCAATGGCAGAAGTGAATTTTGGGCTGTTAACCTTACAAATCTGCTTTAATAGCAAATACTTCTTAATGTTGTGTTTAAATAGTATATGTGCTTTATGTTTGTATAGAAAAGTCCAAACGTATGTTTATGTTAAATCTGCCATTTGATGTCTAAATAACGCTGTACTTTGAACTTTGGAAAGGTTGTGTTTTCTCACTAATTTGCATGTGTTTACTCAGAAATATTCTTTGCATATGCACCAAAAATATGATAATCATATTAATCACATTTGAGTACTTTAAAATCTTTCAGAAAAGATATTAAAATATTTTAATTCTGTTATATTTCAGAAGATTATCCTAATGTGGAAAATCATCTAAGATTTACAGCAGTTAATTCTCTAAATTGGTGAGAACGATATTTACTAAAACTTAGGACTATGTGATTGTGCATAAGCAATTTTAGGATTAATTTAGTGATTAAATCAGTTTAAATGAAAGGGAAGGGTAGGGGTAACAGGGCAGCAGTGTCCTGCAGTCTAGTGTGTCTCCTGTCTCTCTGTTCAGCTGTTTGACACACACAGATCAGCTCCGTAGCTGGCATGTCCCTCACAGGCACCCTCTTGCTCTGCCTTCCCCTCCACCCTCCCAGGTACGGCCCTTTGTTTGAGCTCTTTCTCTATCACCTGATTTCAGTCATATTTGGAATTCGGTGAAAAATTTTGACAAAAAGGTTCTAGACCTTCTGATAAAATTTTCATAGTAATGAGCTTTATTTTTGGAGGACAGGCATCAAGGACTGTGCTTTTTTTGGTATGTAGTTCATAGAGGCAGATTTTTACCTTTTTATTAATGCTCAGCCTTTCTTTTACTTGTGGCAAAAATGTTCCATGAAAGTATCAAAGTATGAAAAGTTAATATTGCTAGTGTAATTTTATATAAAAGTATCTTTAATTTACTTTGCTATTTATTAAAAGACTCCTACATATAATATACTTACATAAAATTGTTTAAAGTTTCATTTTACATGGGCATATGTTGTTATGATTTAAACATTAATTGTATGTAGCTTTTATCATGTTTGGTAAATTTTTTAGATTTATTTTTATTAAATGTAGTAAATAAAACTGATCCCATAAAATTTATAATAGAGAACAGTAATATCCCACTGCTCTTTCTCCCACTGTGCTTTATTTCTTCTTTTTGGTGGAAGAAGTTCTGAAAAAGCCTGTGGGAGATCTTGCCTGTCTGAGGATGGCATTCTCCCTTAACTCTTGATTGATAATTTGGCCTGCACTAACAACTGCTTGTTTTTAATGATTTTCATTCACAGTTTGGAAGGCATTATGTGGGAGAGTCTGAAGCCATTCTGACATCTTTTTCCTTGTATGTAGCTTGTTATGCTTTCTGGGAACTCACAGAATGTCGCCTTTGTTCTTCATGTTCTGAAATTTTGCAGCGTTGTGTCTTGATTTATGTGTTGTCCCCGGCCCCTTCAAAGTGGAAATGCAAATTAAATGGTTGTGAGAAAGTGTTTTCAGTTGATGTTATTTATGAAGTTTTCCCCTAGGTTTTCTTTATCTTTCTGTAACTCCTGTTACTTGAGTGTTACACTTTTACTAGTTAATTAAAAACAAAAACAAAACAACTTATTGTTCCCTTTGGGAGATTGTCTCCGTGTTCCTCTTCTGTTAAATAATTCTTTTTGCCTATCAATTTTTTTATCCTCAGTTTCTCATATCTAACACCTTTGCCCCCCTTTACACTCTCTCCCCTCCTCCTCTTTTATTTATTAGTACAACTTACATATAAATGTGAGCAGTTAGAAATCAATGCATATAAAATGAATTACTCATTATTTTGAGTGAAATCTATTCCATAGAAGTAAGGATGGTTAACATTTGAAAGTCAGTGTAATTTATCATATTAGAATGAAGAAAGTTTATATGACCATCTCAATTTAAGTAGAAAACATCTTTGATAAAGTTTTATAGCCACTTAGAAAAAAGTTTTAGTGAACCAGATAGGGAGAAGTTTACTGAATATGATAGAGATTATCCATTAAAACAATATGTGGACAACATCATAGTCAGTGGTGATGCATGTAATGTTTTCTAATGAATTCAGGATGGCTTCTGTCACCTGTGTTTAGTGCAGATCCTGGACATTTAAATAAGGCAAGAAAAAGAAATAAAATATATAAATATTAGAATATTGAAAAATTATCTTTAGTCATTGGTCATATGATGACGAGTTTAGAAAACATAACAGAGTCTATAAACTGTTAGCAATAATAAGTGAATTTAGCAGAATTGCTGCCTGGTTCAATGGAAAGTACATACAGATTCATGGGAGTAAGTTGCTTTCATTCTGACCATGGAAGGAGTCTCGAAGATGTGATTTGTGAAGTATTTATGGCCCAGATTTCTGGAACTCATCTTAAAATACTGAGCAACAACTTGGTTTATTTTCTCTTGATTGTGTCAATGTTACTTACTGCTTGAAAGTTGCTATTATTTTCAGCTGTGCTATACAGAGAATTCACAATTTAACATGTTAAAATGTTAAGGAAAAAAAATACGGCGGGAGGCAAACAGAGGTACAGGAAAAAATATTAAAAAGTTAAAAAAAAAAACAACCCTTTCGATTTCCCTTTCTTCCAGCTGTGGGATGCCAGTGGCAACTGTTTTCTGCTGCTTGTCGTTTGGTACAGTCTGCCTGTGCAGACAGAAAAAGTAGTGTTGCTGGTCCTTTCTTTTTTTTAAAATATGAATGACTAATTTCTTTTCTTTTTTTTGATATGGGCCTAGTTACTTTACTTGAAACAAACATGACAAAACAAATTCAGAGTTTTAGTTTATTCATTATTTGCTTTTTTTAGGGTAAAAATTCTTTTTTTTGTCTTTTTGAGACAGAGTCTCGCTATGCAGTTCAGGCTGGCCTTGGGCTCACTTTGCAGCCCAGGCTGGTCTTGAACTTGCAAGCAGCCTCCTGCCTGAGCCTCTGGAGTGCTGGGATTACAGGAGTGCCGCAACACGCCTGGATTTGTGAATGGGGGGGATTCTTACGCTACACTTTTTATATGTTGATGTCCAGCATTCTTAAAGATACAAGTATGTGTTTCATTCTTCAGACAACTTAAATGTGTGGTTTTTTTTTTTAACCACATTCAGAGAAATACTTGACTTTCTGTGAAGTTAGGATTTATGACAAAGTTCTCTAGAAGTATTTGCTGTAATTTTTTGAACCCTATAAAACACAAAAACAGACGAACGTGTGCGCGCGCGCACACACACACACACAAGTCTGTTCAGCCCAAACAGCAGCAAACTTTGAAAAGAAAGTAGGCCAACTGACATTTGTTTACTGTCTTCACCAGTGTATCACAAAGAAGAGAAAACAGGCTTATTGACCTTTTAAATAGCTACACTATAACATTTAGGGCTTCTTTAATGTTTTCTGCTCTAATTCCTCTCAGTTTCCATCATGTATGGTGTATTTCTTTCATAATACTTAGTCTGTATCATTGAAGCCTTTTTGCTAGTGATTAGATTTTTATATTTTACCAAGTATAGTAATTTAGATAAATTGTGACTTGGACATATATGTTCTGTTTATCCTGAAATTTGTTGTTATTGATCAGAGGATGTATTTCTAGTGTTTGCTTTGGAGGCATTGGTTTTTCAGTTTTTGGTGCTGTCATGACATAGACTTTCGGAAATTATGTGTCTGAACCCCATAATTAGAGACTTTTCCTATGTGGGCTACCAAAAGGAAGTATATTGGACAGAAATAAGAGGAAGGAAATGCATAACTTATGTGAACTGTAATGTTCGATACTTTTCAGATGACATTCTCAGTTGATTATATAATATACATTGTCATCACACTTGTGGAAGTCAGGTACCATTATTCTGCTTACAAGTGAGGAGACTTGAGAATCAAAGAGATTATGTGACTGACACACAGTTGCTAAGTGTTGGAGCTAAAGTTTGTTCTGTAAATCTCACTTCTCCTTGGTCTTGAAGTACCCCATGAATAGGATTTTTCCGTAACTACAGGGAACACTTTTGCCAAACTCAGGTATTTCTAAGCTGTATTTCTTATACACACTTGTGTATTAGACTATGTAAAAATTAGTTTAAAAAAATTTTTTTTTTCATTTTGGACTTTTAGTTATCTCAGTGTCTTAATTGTATTCTATGTGGTATTCTATGTGGAGATCTTGGTTGTTTAAAGGACAGTGATAATTAACTCAGGACCAATATATAGAAAAACCATTTTCTGTACTATGACATTTAAAATTTAAGTTGTTGAAATAAAGGTAGTAGTCCATCTAAATTTTGTTTGTTTGTAATTAAATCAACTTTGTTGGATTCCCCTTTGTGTGATTTGGTTAAACTAATGAAAGTACATAAGATATCTCAAATCAGACTTACAAAAAAAGGTGTAACATGAAGCAACTAAATGCATGTGAACTTAATGATTCTGACCCAAATAAACAGACTTGTAATGCAGATG